TCTAGCTTCTTCTGATTTCTTCAGCCCGCTCCCTCCTCCACCCCATGCCCCTTCCCTACAAAAAGAAAGCTGAAAGCAACGGAACGACAGGATTTGAGTGGGAGCCAATTTAATGGGCCAAGAGGTTACATATGGAGCCAACAAATCATGGAACCATGAAGGATATTACTGATTTAAAGTTATGTACGTTAAAGCCCAAATCTTAACAGCATTCACAAAGGTAAAGGTAACTAATGGAGAGGGTAACCGATGGAAAATCAACCTTTCCCCTGGCTGCCCTGCCTCCCTCGTCAAGATGGCAGCGCTTCTTGGCTGGAGAGGGGCCCCCAGCCACAGACGCTCCCCGTGAGCTGACCAAAGGGAAGGCCTCAGCCTTAACTCACCGAGGAAGGACAAGGTCTGCCGGATCCTGCATTTATACAAGGCCTCAGAGACCATGACTTGGTTTATTTTTGTGTGCACGGGAGTGTGTATTTCTTCTTCAGATGTTTTGGGGGTTACCAGAAAAACCATTCGCTTTCCCCCCTTAATTGTTAAAACTGTGTGTAATTTCAGGGAAATTTGATCCATGTGCTCCAGATCCCTTGGCACATAATCATGAAAAATCTCTCTGGAAAGAGCTATTTTCTCCCCCAGGAGACTTTGGTGCCCTTTTTAATAAGCCCTATAAGTGCTGTTCTACCCCCAGGTCACCCTCTCCAAGTGCAGAAGGTTGTGTTTGGCCAAAGGAAAACCAGCCTGACCACCGAGGGCATGGGCCTGGCTTGAAATGTCGAACACGAGAATTTGGACTGGGTTTTGGCACAGGGAAAATGACTTCCCCCTGGTCCCGGTGTTTACACAGAGAAAGAAGCCGTCCTTTAAAAAAGGAAAAGAGAAAAAGGTGTGATGATGTACACATCAACTCCGGAGCGTTACCCGGTGGCCATCGGCATGTGAGTGTTAGCTTCTGGTTCACAGGTTCAGGAAGAGCGCTTGATGCTTTACTTTGAGGTTCTTTGAGAAAATGCTTTCACCCAGAGACTCCCAGCTACCCCCAAACACTCCGGAACCCTCTTGGATGGATTTCAAGGACCATGGCATTTCTGCGTCCAGGACATGCATTTCCCCACCCTCCATCCACAACAACCCAACCACTGCATGGAAGCCACAATGGCATTCCTTCAATCCAAAACAAACATGTCATTACCAATCTCAGATTAATTGACGCCATTTGTGTGCCCTGCCTTTTGGGTTTCAGCTGGAGTCTGCCCAACAGCAATGGCCACCGCCCTTGCAAACCTCAAGGCACTCACAACTTTGGCCTCTGGCAGAATTCTCCTAGCTATTCTTTGTCACCCCTGTGACTCCAAGCCCTTTCTCCTTCCCACTCCCTTCCCGCTCTGAGGCTTTGGGTAAATTTGAAATGAGTTGCTGGTAGGATGAGGTTATCTGCAGAGCAGAGTTTCGCTTGGAGTCAATGCCTTTGTTCTATTTCATGAATTGCAAGAAGCACATTTGTTTTTGTTTTAACACCCCCTGAAATTGGGATATTCCTTACAGCTCATGATGAGAAGCATTATGGTGAGGTCATGGAAAACATTTCCCTTTCTCATGGTTCATGTGATGGTGCATCTATTCTGGTCCCCAAAGAGATACATGATCACTCTTGAGAACACCGATAAACTTTCACCTCTCTCGCTCATTCTTTTGCCATTCATTCTTCAGTAAGAGCATATTGACCACATGCCTGACTCTGCAGTGAGGAGACTGGAACAGTGTTGAAATGGCCTCTCCCTTTCAGAAAGCTGTAATTTAGTTCTAGACATAAGTGAATACATGACCAACCACGCACAGTGCTAAATTAGCGGTGTGGCCAGAAAGTGGCGCAGGAGAGTAAGACGGAGCCACAGAGTGGGACGGAGTGACTCTAAGCCGGGGGCCGGGCGGCCTCACTGCTGTCGTAGCTCTGTGCTCCCACCTGTAGTATGAGGGCCTTGTAGCAGATCCGAGTATCCCGGTGTGGGTCCCGCAGAACAGAGTCCAAGGGCATGCTCTGGGACACGAGGGCTCCGCGGTGGGGGTGGGGCATCGAGAGCTATCACCCCACTCCTTTCTCAGAGATTCTTTACATGTACTAGCATAGCATGGGCTCTGAGAAGTTCTACAGTGAAGGACATGTTCGACTTGTGTTTAACTCCGTGTTTCCCAAATATATTGGTTCCTGGGGTCCTTTCTTCCACTCAATATAGCCATTGCTGTAATAAAACTTAGGGACACTGCAAGTCTATTCCGACCCCAACATCGCGGGAATTCATGAGACGACACAGAGCTGTAGCACATGGGGAGAAGAAAGCCCGCCCGAGAGAAGAGGCAAGGGCTGTGCTCGCGGTGTGCTGGGCTCCTGCATGGGGGCAGAGTGTACCTGATAAATAGAACATAGTTTAATCCTGACAGTGTAGACTGTAATAAATAGAGCATACCGAGCTGGCTGCCAGGAACTCAGAAACGAGCAAAACACTGGCCCTGACCTCAAGTGCCTCCTAATGGTGGAGAAGACTAGATGTTAACAAACGGTATACCTGGCTCGGCGATTCTCCTGGAGGTAGAAAGAAAGGGCCCTGAGGAGACGAAGAATGCCTGGAGGAAAGCAATGAAGGCTCCGGGTAGAAGGAACCGTCAGAACTGGATCTGGAAGGAGGAGGGTGAATATCTGTGTGCCTGAGACAGGAGCAGGAGGAGAGCATCCTGGGCAGGAGAAGGAACATGAATAAAGAGAAAGAGGCAGGAGAATGCTTCCGTAGCTGGAGGGCAAGATACATTGTGATGAAGGCTGGCTGGTTAGGTTGGGAGCAGACCATGAAGGGTCCAACTCAGCAAGTAACAACAACAGAAGAGGAGACTTAATTATCTCCCATAATAAGGAGTCTCCGGGTCCGTAATGAGAGGGTCTAAGACTGGCTCAGTGGCTCAGTGATGCCTCCAGGGGCCTGAGCTCCTTCCATCCCTCTCCTTGGCCATTCTTCACCACGCTGGCTTTTTATCCACATGCTTGTTGCCTCATGTCAACAGATGCTGCCCCAGAACCAGGCGTATTTCTGGTGGATGATACACCTTATCCTTAAACATCGGCATCTGGAGCTAATTTTCAGGCAAGGGAAGCAGGCTTTTTTGCAAGGAGAAGTGAGCTGATCCATCAGACGGTTGTTTTTATAGGATGACTAGTCACAATGTAAAGGCAGGAGGGGAAGAAGAGAGATTGGAGGAGGGAGACAGTGTAGCATTGAAATGTTCTAGGCAAAAAAATCTTGCGTGCTAACATCAGATCCCTAGCAGTACTTGGAAGAAGGAGGCAAAAGAGAAAATGCTTTTCTTTTATTACGGAAGGCAATTCTAGGCAGCCCCAAAGACTCACCTTCTCTTCCATTGGCTAGAACCCGGGCACATGGCCACTCCTGGCACACGGAAGGCTGAGAAATCCAGTTTCTGGTACAGGCAAATGCAGTAGCCATGAGACCACTCGGGATTCAGTCACCTCAGCTGGGCTGCGACCTGAATGACAAATTAACCTTTTATTTCATTAAGCGCTGAGATTTGGCAGTGACCGGTTACAGCCGTTAGACCACCTTTTCCAATACATGAGAACCCCAATGCTTAATCACTAAGGAAGACAATATGGCTTGACGTACGAGAAATGGAATTGAAAACTGAACGGTGTCAATTGCACTTTTGGGGAGAGGGGACACGTTGGGGATCATGTACCCCTTGCCATTTCACCTCTTCAGAGATTAATTAATGATTTATAACCACCCCAAATGTGATAAGCGGTCAAAAGTCCAGGAAAAGTGCTGTGTATCTCATGAAATCATTTTTTGATAATTTCAACTTTTTTATTAAGGGTTAAAAACAATGACCATTCAGTTGAGAAGTCTAATTGAGAGACTCTGTCATCCCACCCCTGCCCACTATCTAACCCAAGTATTAGCCTCCCCTGAGTATTTTAGTCAATGTTGTGCCCGTCGTGTCCACAGAAAATCGTTGTTTCCCTAGAGAAACAGGTCTGATCGAGAGGGTGGGGTCTGGTCAGTGAAGGTGTATGGAAAATGCTTCCCCACTGTTGACACGAATCTGACAGGGAGACGATGAAAAAATGGGAGGGACTTGCAACTCCCTGGTTAGTGCCCCTGAATCTAATTTCAAGCACAAACAAGGCCAATGAAATGAAGTCACAGAAATCCAGGGGAAAGTGGCCCTCTCATTCTAGAGCTCCTAAAAGCTAAGGGAGCGCCGTGATTTTAGGATGTCTGCCACAGACTTTCAGAAGTAGGCGTTCAAGTAGGGCCAGAGAAGACCACGTATGCAGCCGTGTCAAGAAGCTTCAAATGTAGAAATGGCCCACGAGGGATGGGAGGCCCTCAAAGGTCTGAAAACATGATGAAAACATGACCTTGGTGAGGAAGCAGGGCTCCCCATCGGAAGTAAACCCATACGGCACAGGAACTTCTTTGGAAAAATTCCATGAGGCGAAAACAGGGGAACGTGAATGTTCTTAAGATGGGTTCGAAAGAGTGGGCCCAGCTGACTCGAGGAGAATCTGGGAGATGAGCTCCCAGTGAGATCAGCCTTGTGACCTGACTACCACAGGGGCTCTTGTGGGTCTCTTCAGAATAAGTCCCGAAAATGGGTTGGTCTAGATTCATAGATGGTACCACACGGCGCGAGGAAGCCAACTCCTCAGCACCTCTCCCAGGTGCAGTCCTGACGCTGCCCAGGCTTCTGCCTCAGCGTCCGGGTCAGTAACGGAAGGCGAACCCCAGGGAAGACGCTTGCCCAACCCTCCACCCTTGGGTGTGCGCTGAGCGGCCCCCACCCTGTCCTTGTCCGTGTAAGTCACACCTGCACAGTCCCCTTTCATCAGCCCAGCTTCAAGTGGCAATTTAAACCTTTTAAGGCCACCTGTCGAGCACCCACTCTGTAGATTTCCTTTTATCGCCAGCTCGAGGGGAGTAACTAGATAACATAATTATGAGGCAGGAGAATGGGGTGTTTTGATTTGTGTTCTTTGAGGATTAGCCAAGCGCCCCACTGCCAAATCCGCGATCACCTGAAAGGAAATCTGAAGGAAGAACCTGCCAGGTAAGTCCTCCAGGTGCTCTTCAGGCAAACGGCTTTGAAAATGGGCCTTTTCTGCCTTTTTCTCGTCACTGCAGAGCTCAAAGGCGTTTGGGGTGGACAAAGTTGGTGGGTGCCTTCTCGCACAGTGAGGTGGAGGGAGGCAAAGAAAGGTGTTTTCCAAACGCCTGGAGCTGGGGCAAGACATTTGGGAAGCCCTTTGGATGTGGGATGATGCGCAAAGTAATGATATGGAGCCAGACCTCTGATCTTCCCGAGCGTCCCTGGGACGTTACCTGTGCCCCCTTCGGCGCAGACGCTCTTGAATACTTTCAGGGAATGTCAGGGAGGTGGCAAGAGCAGGCAACTTTGTCTCAGGCTGCAGGATGTGAAATGCTGAAACCCCATCTTTGAGGCAGCAGGCGGCCTCTCTGAAGATGCTTGAGTGACGTGCCAGTTTGGGTGGGAGCACGCGGGCTCAGATCAAGAGGGGCCACGGGCAGGACATGGTTGCGAATACAGATGCACAGTATGTTAGCCTCCAGGGCTTCCATAATAAAGCACCAGATCCTGCGTGGCTTAAAACAACAGAAATCTATCTCTCACAGTTCTGGAGACCAGAAGTCCAAAGTCAAAGTGTTAGCCTGCTTTTCCAAGGCCTCTAGAGGAGAATCCTACTTTGTCTCTTTCAGCGTCTGGTGGCTTCAGCTATGGCAGCATTGTCTCCAGTCTTGGCTTCTGTCTTCACGTAGCGTGTTCCTTCTGTGTCTGTCTGTGTTCAAATTGTCATCTTCTTAGAAGGATGCCAGTCCTGTTAGATTGGGGTCCACCCTAAGCCAGTATGACCTCATCTTAACCCGAGTACATCTGTAAAGACCCTACTTCCAAATAAGGTTTACATTCACTGGCACTGGGGGTTAGGACTCCAACGCATCTTCCGGGGGGACATAATTCAACCCATAACATGTGGATATATGAAAAAGCAAAGTTACAACTGCTATAACTTATCACATGAGTAGCTGGAAGGCTTTGGAATCTTGAACCTATTGTCACTTCAGTTTTGGGTTTGCCCTCTAAAAGAGGCAATGGCTTTTTAATATTTTGCTCTAATTCCAAAGAGAGACATAAGACATTAAATAGTGTATAACAAACTCACATGCAATAAAATTATAATCCAAATTTAGAGGGTGGTTGTAAGCCTGAGGGAAAGGGAAGCCACAGGGGAAGACTTGTTATAGGAAGACGTTAGGGGAGAGGGGTAAAAAAATATTGAGAGGAGGGAGGAAAATGATCTACTTATTAATGGATAGAATTCCCCGCCCCCGGTACCTCCTGCTGATTATAGCATGGCTTGTTGAAGGTGGTGGTTAAAGACAAACCAACAAGGCAGCACCAGTGTGGTCCTAAAATTCTCGGAAGGTCCAAGTGGTGGGTTTTGGTTGGTGACACTTCTGGGCATTCACAGAAGTAGCAATTTAGAGAAGTGGACTGAGTGAGAACAGTTCCAGAGGGTTCACCCCTGGGAACCTGCGGAGCTTGAGGCTCAAGGCAGTATGTAGCCCCATCTCACCCGTGGGCCCTCGCCTGGGCTTGGCAAACCCAGGCTGCCAGAGAATTCTCTACAGCCATATGTTGTCTCCTCACCCAATGCTGGATCTGTATGTCATATGGGTATTTTCTACCAATTACATTTCTCTCTTTTTTTTTTTTAACTTTTATTCATTTTTGAGAAACAGAGACAGAGTGTGAGTGGAGTAGGAGCAGAGAGAGAGGGAGACACAGAATCCAAAACAGGCTCCAGGGTCCGAGCTGTCAGCACGGAGCCCGAGTCAGGGCTCGAACTCACGGACTGTGAGATCATGACCTGAGCTGCAGTCAGTCGCCCAACAGACTGAGCCACCCAGGCACCCCTATCAATAACATTTCTTAATTTAATTCTGTAGGAAGGATCTGTGAACTCGTATATCTTTCTTTTTTAAGATACTTTTTAAAAAAATGTCTTATTTATTTCGAGAGAGAGACAGAGGGCAAGAGCATGACTGTGAGCGGGGGAGGGGCAGAGAGAGAGAGGCAGAGAGAGAATCCCAAGCAGGCTCCACACTGCCGGGTTCCATCCCCCAAACTGCGAGATTATGACCTGAGCCGAAATCAAGAGTCCGACACTTTACCAACTGAGCCGCCCAAGTGCCCCCATGTTAAATGGTATTTCTAATATTCCTAGGGTTTCAGGAAAAGGGATGATGCTAGCAATATTAAATAAAGCAACTGGGGAAGAAAATTCAAGAAAACTTATGCTGATGGTTGTACCACAAGCCAGGTGGAGCAGAGACAGGATGGACTTGGAAAAGAAGCATATGGACATTTATAACTCTGTTTCAAGAGCCTGTGGATGCCCTGAATGGCCCGTTTTAAAAAATAACATATGAGTTCGCCTGAACCTGCCGTAAACAGATTTTGATACATATTACGCATTATCCAAAACATGTACAGAATGCAGCACTATACCATATTCACATGACCTAAATAATAAAATATAAAAAGGTGTACAGAGAAAAACCTCCTTCCTGTCTTGTTCCCTTCCATTCAGCTCCCATCCTTCCCAGCAAGGGACATTATTATGTTGTCTGTTTATCCTTTCAAGGGATTGTCAAAAACCTGCCTGCCAACACAGATACGTAATTCTGTTTTCCCTTATTTTTTTAACCCAACTGGTAACGCACTGTATGCATGTTTCTATATTTATTCACATGAATGCACGGTGATGTACGTACATATTTATTCATTACAGCCTTGTTTGCAGTAGCAAAAATTTAGAAATAACTTTGGGGTCCATCAAAAGGGGATTAACTAAGTTATGGAATATCTATACTTATGGAATGGTATGAAGCTATAAAAAAATGAGGATAAGCCCTATGTGCTTATACGGAAATATCCGGGGGTACATGAAGTAAAAAATGTAAAAGGACAATGTATGTATTATGTACTCAGGGTAACGGAAGAAGGGAAAGGATAAGACTATATATTTGCGGGGTGCCTGGATGGCTCAATCGGTTAAGCGTCCGACTTGGGCCCAGGCAACGATCTCACTATTTGTGAGCTCGAGCCCCACGTCAGGCTCCGTGCTGACAACTCAGAGCCTGGAGCCTGCTTCGGATCCTGTGTGTGTGTGTCTCTCTCTCTGCTTCTCCCCCGCTCATGTTCTGTCTCTTTCTGTCTCTCAAAAATAAATGTTAACAAAAATAAATAAATAAATAAATAAATAAATAAATAAATAAGAAGAATATATACTTGCATTTTCTTTCAATTGAATAAAGAACAATCTGGAAGGATTCACAAAAACTAATAAAATCTTTACTTACAGATGACGAAGGAAGTAAAATGATGAGGGATAGGGTGGTGAGATTTTCCAATATTTATTTTGTTACACTATTTTAAGTTTTGAACCACACAAATGCATTTTCTGTTTAAAATACAAATGAAGGGGTGCCTGGGTGACTCCGTCGGTTGGGCATCCGACTTCAGCTCAGGTCATGATCTCACAGTCCTTGAGTTGGAGCCCCGCGTCGGGCTCTGTGCTGACGGCTCAGAGCCTGGAGCCTGCTTCGGATTCTGTGTCTCCCTCTCTCTCTGACCCTCCCCCGTTCATGCTCTGTCTCTCTCTGTCTCAAAAATCAATAAACATTTAAAAAATTTTTTTAACAAAAAATAAAAAATAAAATAAAATACAAATGCAAATGAAAGTAAATTAATTAAATGCATATCCCTCAGATCTGCTAATCCTACCACCAGGAACTTATCCTACAGGTATGTTCTCATGTATTCTCAAAAATACCACCAAGAATGTTGGCTGCAGCATTATTTCAATGGCAAAAGACTGGAAATGACCTTATTGATTATTAAACGTAGGCTGGTTAAGTGAATTAAGTTACATTCATACAGTCAAACACTCTGCAGACGTTACAAAAGATGTGAAATGTATTGATAAAAGATATTTGTATTTAGTAAAAAAAGGCAGGATAAAAAAATCATGCTCCCTTTTGTTGATAAAATAAATATGATGCATGTATATGCACCCACATATCCTATATTCTTCCAGTGAGGTGCAATGTGGTGTGTGTGTGTGTTTGTGTGTGTGTGTGTGTGTGTGTGTTGGCATTAAAAATTTCTAGGGGCGCCTGGGTGGCTCAGTCGGTTGAGCGTCCGACTTCGGCTCAGGTCACGATCTCATGGTTCGGTTCGTGAGTTCGAGCCCCACATCAGGCTCTGGGCTGATGGCTTGGAGCCTGGAGCCTGCTTCCGATTCTGTGTCTCCCTCTTTCTCTGCCCCTCCCCCATTCATGCTCTGTCTCTCTCTGTCTGAAAAATAAATAAAACATTCAAAAAAATTTAAAAATTTCTGGAAGTTGATGTAAGAAATTGTTAACAGTGGTGTCTTCTGGGAAGTGGGTGACAAGTGTTTGCAATAGTAAGGTCGCCCTCTTCTTGCAATTCCTCTTGAACTTTCCTTTTACTGTGCAGTTTTTCTTTTCCAATTCAAAACTATTTACAAATAAAGCAACAAATAAAGGAACATCGATACAATAAAAATTGTACACCTATAACACAAACAACTGAGGAAGTTCTTCATGAACGTCTACAGAACAGTTTCCACCATACGTTGTTAAGGAATGTATATTTTTAATTTTCGATGTTCCAGGGATTCCCATGCTAAGTATACCTGGTTCACACCTCCACCTGGTGAGCAGGTCAGGAGGCTTTTCATTCCTTTGGGTATGATCTTATTTCAGCTCTGCCTTTCAGATCGAGGAAGACTCTTTGGGTTTGTTTGTTTCAGTTCATCTTCCTCACCTGTAAGATCCGCTGTCAGTCTTTTGGGTTGAAATCCTAGTTCCTACTGGCTAGTGAACACGAGCAATTTGTTTAATGTTGCTTAATGTTCTTAATGGCTACGGGCCTCAGATTGCCTTTCTGTAAACACAAAATGGATTACGTTATGGGAATGTTGTGACAGCTCGAGATCATTGCAATACATACTATTTAGCATGTGAGGACCCAAGGGTAGGCATTCAACGTGGTGGCTATTGCCACCATTAATATTCCTTGGCGTATGTCGGTCTAAACCGCAGACAGAAGTGACCACACCCTGGGTTTGCACCAGGAAATACAAAGCTTTGTGTGTCGTGGCCAGCACTGTTCCAGAGGAGCCCAGCATTTTTCTGGTCTCTTCGACAGTCGCCTTGGGCTGGTATCTCAGAGAATCAATGTTCTGTGAATGCAATTGGGGTTGGATTCTTACTCATATGGGGCATTTTACAGCCCCTCTTAGGGAAACTTATTCCCACTTTTTGGACCTAAATTTTATCCAGCGGCTTCCCCCCCTCAGGATGCCTCTTGTTGCCATCTGTTGCCCCAATCCTATTTGAGTTGGAGTCCATGAGTTTAGGGCAATGTCTTCAAAAGAGGAAGTGAAGATGTCCTTGTAGTCTTTCTTCATTTTTAGAGAGTTAAAAAGAAAAACAACTGCCTCTCCATTTTATCATTCAATATAGCTCTGGGTCAAGTGGTCTCACTGATTATCTAGTTGGCTTTCTGCCTTGATGCATTTATAGAATCTTTTATTATTGACTTTGGAGCTCCTTGCAAGGTACTCCAAAAAAGCATATTACAATAGTCTCTAGTGGGCAATTTACCTTTTAACTGCTCCTTTCATTACCCGCCCCCCCACAACACCCTCATTTAGTTCCCCTTTCTGGAATTAAATAACCACATGATAGCTTTTGGGCTCCATGTCTCTTTTGGTTGTTGAACTTGGCCCTGTGGTGGTCTTAATTATGTAATGGTTCAGTTAGACTCTCATGCTCTTTTACATTCATTCCCTTTCTTCTACATTTGTTTTCAGGTTATACGGCATCTTGATAGATTCAGAGGCAGATAATTAGGACCATCTTGGTTTGGTTTTTTGAGAATCTCTCTGAGAATCACTGACACCGTGATAAGAGATTGTGCTCAAGGAGTTGTGTGCTGCATGAGAATGGGCTGGGGGCAAAAGGAAAAAATAAAGACTACCATTTTCCAAAAGTCTTTTGGTTCCAGGTGAATGTGAAGTCTCTTTTCCCCATTAATTAATCTAAGATTAAAGACTGAAGATCTGCCTGTCGATTGGGTCTTACTTTAGAGGCCATCGTACTCTAGAGACCATCACCCTAGAAATACAGACTTGGATTCAAGGTTTTCTCGATTTACTTTTCTATCACACTTCCCATAAATCCCATGGCAGGGCCTGCCGACTCACCATTTTTCTCTCAATTCACTTTATCCACACTCATCTTCCCTAAGGACGGGACTGACCTTACTCTGAAGGCCAAAAGCTCAATGAGTTTCTGGTATAAATTTCTGGCAGAAAATAGCTCTTCCCAAGTCCAATGCTAATGTTTCCAAAGCCATAAGTCAGAGAGGAACCCTGCCCCTCCCACGCATATCCATAGACAGCTTCTCACCATGTTCCTAACACCCTTAAGTCTATACTGACAGGGTATAAACTGAGTTTGATCTAGAGTAGCAATCCTTATGTCGCCAAAAGTATTTCTTTTTCTTTTTAAATTCCCTCACATTTGATCTAAAGAAGGAATTCTATGTGTTTCTGTTCTACTTAAAAATACACCAAGGAGTCCAAAGGGGAGCAAATACACCAGTTTATACTCGACTCATTCCATGATGTGGCAGCTTCATGGATATGTAGTAGCTAAATACTGGAGGAGGAAACTTGCACACTCCCTTCTAAGAGAAAGAAAACCTAAAGACAGTAAAGAAAGTAGAATTATGCACTTAGGAGAGATCCTCAGCAAGTGGGTAAGTAGACAACAACTTCGGGAGCATGTCAGTTCTCAAACTGAGAAGAATTGAAAAAGGATGAATCTCTATACTGGCAATGATGTAAGAAAATAAGCATTCATATTCTTCTGATAAGAGAGTGAGTTTAGAACAATCTGGAGGCAAATTTAGTAACATATAATAGGTGTCTTAAAAGATGCATGCCATTTGATTAATTTCACTTCCAGAAGTCAATTCTACAGGGAAAATAGAGGTAATGAAGAATCTAGCTTACTGGAACGTCATTATAGCATTGATGATGAGTTAAAAACGTAGAAAAATCCTAAAGGTCAAATAATAGGCAGCTGATTAGATAGATTATGATACACAAGAATGATGTTATAGATGTTATGGAAAAGGGACATGGAAAGATGTTCACAATATGTGAGTGGGGAAAAAAAAAAAAAACACTGAAAAGTGGTATGCAGAATGCCAGTTGACAATTACCAAAACAAAACAAACAAGAAAAAAACACCAGAAAGACTTGATTTTAAAAAGTTACATTTATTAGATTGATTTCAATCAAAAAGAACACCTCTTTGACAGAGTCTTAGCAGTGTTAGAAGAGGGAGGTTGGGAAGGATATTTACAGGGTTTCAGAGCCAGAGTCCTGTGACTATAAGGTGGGTCTCACCAGGTAAGGGGCTGGCTATGATTGGGCAGTTGATGACATAATAATTTTGAATTGGC